AGCATGTAATGATTAAATAGTAAAAACTATTTCAAATATATCAGTGCGTAGGCAGAGAAGTTTATAATAGTCATGTAAATGTAACGTTATTTGAGGATATGTGTATATCCTAAATTTCTGTGAATGTGTAATGTTGAAAAGATATGAAATACTTCGAATATACCTATGCAGATGTAAAGAACTGTTTAATGTTTATATGAATTAAATGCAATATCAGGGACTGTTACAGGAATTTTCCAGTGAAATTTTAAATAGAACATTATAGCAATTTTTAATAAAACTTAAGAGCTATAAATTAAAATATTTGAATGTGTAATGTTTGCGACCATCACCATTTTGTTTCTAATTTAAGATTATTTTAGTAAAAAGTTCCTCGGTATCGAAACTTTTAGCGTTAACCATTTGTTTATTTATTTTTGTGTTGTATTATTGTTGAGTAATTTCTGAAAATAAATAATATCATAGAAAACTATATACAATTCACAAATTACAAATTTTGAAATAGGGTTAAAAAGTGTCTTGACGTTTTATATTATTTAACTAAATTCATTATATTACAATTTTGGATATAGTTTATATTTATTCAGTTTAAAAGAAAAAATTCATCTTTTGTTAGAGATAGTTACAAGAAGAAGTTTTTTTCCTAAATTATAATCCACTTAATTATATATCAGTATCTGAACAGTCAGCGTTTAGGTTTTTATAAATAAATTATACTGATGTTGAAATACAGTTATTTCTAGAAATAACAAATATTTTCCAAATATATGCAGTAAGAAATGTTTTTTTAAAATCAGCATTTCGAATATCCAATTAAAAGAGAAATTCACAAAAGGAAGAGGGAAATATTTAGTAATTGTTTCAATTACCAATGTTTATTTTCAAAAGAATTCAAGACGAGAAACTGCGCTCTAATTCGTTTATTAAGAATATATTCCGGAAAAATTTTGAATTACTAATATAATAGTTATTATTTTATTTTATACTAGAAAGCCCGGAGGTCATACGAAATGACCGCTGTTCTAGATATTATAAATTGTAATTAAAATGATTTGTGCAAAGCTGTCTACTGATTCAAACTGAATTACCCAGAGCAGGCGGCGAAGTTTGCGCTGCACTGCACGGGGAATAAAGTAATTTACAGTTACGCAAACAACCAATAAACTATCGGCGACAAACACTTAAGCCCCATATATATACGACTATATTTATTAAGCGTGAAATGTTTACATGTACCATTTTATATAAAGTTATTTGTTAAAGTGCTCTTCTTATGAGAAAATATGACCTTTTAGATAGTCCTTACGAGTAACTTTATCCCCCTTTTTCGTTACTAGATGTAGTTATTTCGAAGCAACCTTCTTCAGGCAAATTGCATAAAACGACTGTTATCAGAACGCCTTTCATTGAAGGCTTTGAAAAGAAAGTTTGCTCATACACACGTATGAGGAAAGTTACAAAAATTTCTTCGCAGCCACCTCTGTATCATTATGAATTGCAAGTTGGGTAAAAATTACTTTTGTTTTTAGCCAATGCGGTTTGGGTGAAAACTATAAATTGAGTAAAAATACTAAACTACTTTTATCTACTAAGAGAAAGAGCAGAAAAGCGAAATGCCATGTAAAACCTAAGTGAAAAGCCATCTTATCTAACTTCTAACGCTTTGTAACTTGCTCGTACGGAACAACGCATCTAATTTAACACCGATATAACGATGTTCGTATAAATATGTGGTGTACTATGAAGAATTCTTAATTTCTAACTTACGAAAACTGCGCTTTTAGAGCTCGGAGACTTTGATCCAGCAGATAAGTACTTTTGAACATTTCTTACTTAATCAGAGTGAAAAAATGATAAAAACAAAAATCCCAATCAAGATTAGAGGATTTGAAATGGGCATAAATACTTGTGATAGAATGTCGATACTGCCAAAATAAAAAATGACAAATGCGATTAAGATTAATTATTAGAGGCATTAAGATTTTTTTTTTTTTTTGAAACAGAAGAAATGAAAAATGAGCAGTGCCCTCGCTGGGACTTGAACCACGGACCTCTCGAATACGCACCGATACTGCTAGCCATTACACCACGAAAGCATGCTAAGAAGGCGGGAGAAATACCTTGTATACTCCACTTTTTAAAGGGCGAGTGGGGATTAGGGGAACCTAGTCGCCAAATCCTGATGGTGGAGAATCATCATCCACCACCTTTTTAAGTTCAGGCGCCACTTATAGAGTCTTCGTGTATTTTTTGGGAGCATACACTCTTAAAACCTATGTCAAAGACTGAGTAGCGATTTCTAGCTATGTCTTTAGGAAATAAATACTGCAGAAGAAAGGTTTAAATAATCTTTTTATTTAAATAAAATTAAAACTGATGCTCGCACTTCGTGCTCTTAAATCACCACCATTTGTTGCTGCATAACAGAAGATAAGAATGTAATAATTCAATAGCAAATTAAGATGACCTAATGACTGGCTCCTTAGCTTAACTAACGCTAAATCGGCTGCACATAGCAAAGCCGAACAGAAAAATATCAGTATAAACTGAAAGATGTCGAACACCGAAATAGAGAGCTCATTTTAAATTCACAGCATAAACATCGGAACTAAGTTCGCTACTACTCTGTTGAACTCCTGAAATGCAGCTTAAATACTGTTTCTGAAACACGTTTAGAATTTACATCTACGTCATACAAAATTTACATTCCGACAGGAAACTGAAATGAGGAGAAACAGGAAAGTCAAACTAAAAATAACTGGTTAGAATAAGTTAAAATATTATGGAATAAGAGACTGGTAGATTTTAAAGCTTGTGGATTTTGCATTTCTGGAGAAAAAGGAATTTTTACTACCGCATATTTCCTATATAAGCCAAGAACTTTAGAAACTTTTTCTGAAGTTAAATTATGGAATCCACTTATGTACGGATCCGCTAACCTCCTAATCATAGAACTGCCCAACCCTATCTTTTCAGTGGGTATATATTGCATATGTAATTGTATCTGCTTCCTGAAGTTATTGATTAGACTAAATCAAATTAAGTGATTAAATCCTAAAAGGAAAAGAAAATGATCGAAATGCGGTCGTTTTCTTTCATGGCATACCAAAGGATATGAATTAAAATGTGCAGAAATAAAAAATTATAAAAATAAATACAGTGAGAAACAGCAAGTGAACAAAACGCATCAGAAAAACCTTGCTATTTGTTTTTGAAATTTTTAATGATCTACTAAACGGAACAAAAACTGTATAGCCATTAGGTTATTTTCGAAGCAGTATATGTACTTAATATGCAATGTCGTCGCCGGGACTCGACCCTGGGCCACTTGAATACAAGCCGAATATGCTACCGTTACACTACAAAGGCATGCACAAAAGAGGGAGAAAAGTACCTTGTAACATAAACATCTCAAATTCTCAAATGCCAAGATCTGATGCTATTCCCCACGCAGTGAGAATTTTTTCTTTCGTGCTTCGTTAATGGAACAAATTACGCAGATAAGAAAAGAATACGTTCTTTTAACATTTTTTAAAATTTATTTTTGAATGATATATCCAATTCGTAATTTTAATAATTATTTTTACCATTAGCGTAATTATTTAAAGGTATTTCTATATATCCATATACTATAATTTCGATACAAAATAAATTTTTCAAGACATCTATCTACCATCCCAACGACAAGATTGTTTCACCTTCTGATTTATTCCTTATATACTTACAAATTGAAAGTATTTTTGCGAATTTTTTCTGGAGATTTCTCAAAAATTTCACAATTTATACAAAAATTAAAAATTATATCTTTCTCTAAAAATGTAAAAAAACTTTCAGGATACGATTTAGGTTATTTGATTATGGCAAAGCACATGACGGTTACTTTCTTAAAGGAAGAGATGTCGTCGGGAAGGCATTTCTAGGGAAAATTGTCTGGTATTCCCTTTACTCATGGGAAAACCACGAAGAGCAACTATGTATCCAGCCCGTTCGACTGAGATCAATCCTGGGTCGAACTCCGAAAATTCAGCAGCCTTAACCATTTGGCCGCTGGTGGAGCATTATTGATTTGAAAAACAAATAGAATCCATTTAGGAATTACTCTTAAATGAAAGGAAAGAATGTAAATGTGTAAAATATATGTATAATAAATTAAGTAAATCGATTGTAAACTGAGCTCTTAGAATTTCTGACTGGCAGACAGCGAGAACAGTCTGAATCTAGAAGTGTGCTGTCTTGTAACATTAAATCTTTCTATCCACAAAGACGAAAACAAAAAAATCATAAGCGCCGAAATAAGTGAGAAAGTTTCATTATGGAGTAAATTATTTTCCTAACATAAGCTTATCTCATTTAAAAAACAAACTTATCATTTTACTTTCAATATAAAATTCCATAGTCTCGAATACTCACTGACAGAACAAACAACATTAACGCTGAAACATTAAGTTTCATTTGCAGACAAATGCTGTAATATCCGACCTCCCAAACCATCATTTCTTGATAGCAGTCTAAAGCGTATCTATAGTTGCTAAGAGACAACAAGATAAAAGGAAATTATTTTTGGCCAAGAATTCCGACTATTCCTAAGCATCATAATGATAGTCACAAACAGGAATAAACCCAAATCGAGTCAATTTCTTTTCATAAATTGTCTTCTTCTTCTGATCCGGCGTGTTTTTGTTACATACCCACAGCTACCCTTAATTTCAAATATGCATTATACAGCTTCCTTAGATCGGCATTATTTTACTGAAGTTCCGGCTACATTCAATAAATGATTTGGTCTCATGAAATATCAACAGCGTTTTTCCAAGCCAGTTGCCATTTTGCTGTACTATTGCAGGGTTACCTAACAGGGAAGCTTTGAACTCTACTAATGACAGAATATTCTAAAGGATCTTCTTTCCTGTTATGTAATTGAAATTAATTTTGCATATTCCGATGAAATTTGTGCTTAATGCCACTAAAATATAACTGGAACGTTCTATAAAGCATGTTACCTCTGAGACTGTAAGATCTCAGTTCGCACAGAGAGACTACGGTGTCAGGCTTCCCAAGTCCTATAGGTTCTTCTGTTATCTCGAGAATAACGAGCTACCCGTACTACCTGCACAACGTTTTCCGGCTCTTTGAGATAAGGTCTCTATGGACGCTTGACGATGCATCAGAGCTCAAGTCGGATGCAGCTTGGAGCTTGGAGGTGCAAGGGAGAAGGAGTGACCAGCTGTCACATGCGCAGTAGCAGTTTCTTCGATAGGAGCGCTTGGAGCTGCATCGTGAGTTGAAGTTAATACATAATATACAACATATAATTTAAAAAAAAAAAAAAAAAAAAAAAAAAAAAAAAACAATAAATTTTAAATAAAAGAGAAAAACTATATAAAGTTTGCAGAGACAAATGCAAATCAGTTCCATGAATAACTCGTAAGTACTAAATTAGAACATTTTCTTCCATATGCAACTTTTGTGGCATTAACGTCATATGAAGTTCCTAATTTGTACAATAGGTAGAACGTACTGAAATACTGTACAGATTTTGCTTATTTAGGACGTGATATTTGTGAGCAGGACCAATACTCTGATAAAATCACATCATAAATAGATTGGAAAGTTTCACGGCATCTTGTTATATAAAACAATTAAGTAACATTTAGTAAACATTAAGTAAAACATTTGATCTTATGAAAAGCCAACAGATTTTTCCCGACAGTCCGATAAAAAGTTATATGTATGTCTTGTTTTGAATTAGCCAAGTCCTTATGCCAACAAAACGAGAAATCAGTCTTAGCTTAAGTAAAGGTATACTATAGTCAGAAAAATTTCAGAAGGTAAAGAAAAAAAAGTATTTTTCATATGAATTTTAACGGCGGGGTAAAAAAAAAGAGAGAGAGAAGGAAATCGAACTTTTTCCGGCTAAGCCTTTTTTATGCTGCAGGTTACAGCACAACTTAACCGCGAAACACTAAACTAAAATAGAGATACAAAATTCTTAAGGAACTTTTTTTCCCTATGATATGAAGAAAATCATTGCAAGCAATAAAAGGCTATTATAATTGAAAGAATATTTTGGACAATTCTGTATTTCGAAGAAGCTGCACTGTTTAGTCGAGTAGGTGTAGTATAATCTGGCAACGTGTATGCGCAGTTTTCCGGCGTAAAATTATAGAAGCTTCAAATTGCATGCGAAGTGTTGAAGTGAAGAATATTACTTCTCTGATCTGCATAGTGAGATTATTTCAGAAGGTAAAGAACTCTTAAGTGATAATTAATATATTTAAATTTGGGAGTAAGTAATAATTAGTTTGAACTTTTAAATTACTTTTTGTTCAGTTTATATAAAATTTGACCATCAAGAAGTCAGCGTGAGATAGTTATAGCCTTAATAGAGGATTTAAGTTTTTGTTATTGAAATTTGAAGAAATTCTATGAATTACATATTGAAATAAGTTGAAAGGCATGTTTAAATATTTGGTATGCCCTACATCAATAGATTATTTCACTCGCATTATATTTGCTTTTGGTACCGATATACAAACAAAAGCAATAAAAATACCATAAAATACTAAACAAACAAACGTTTAGTTAAAACAACTAAAATAATGTTCATTTTTAATGTAATTTAAACTAAATATAATATAAAAAGGACTATAAGTAATTATAAACTGCACTGCATCAAACATGTTTTTGCTGTTTGGAAATATGTTTGATGTACTGCTGGGGTTTGATGTGACATAAGCAGCATGTCTTTGATGGTTCATGAACATCAAACAACAAATGTTTAACATAAAGTTACTTTTCATCAATTTGAAAATTTTTATAAGGATATTTTTTTCTTTATGGGGAAAAACTCCGAAGAAATTCCAAAATTATTACATTTCTAATTACATTCAAATTACACAAAAAATTATTACATTCTATGTATAATTTTAAATATTATACTTTTAAAGTCATAATTTTCAAAATTTAATTTAATTTGATTTCCATAAATATAAATAAAAAATTACACCTGAAAATTACTCGTCAAATTTTGGATTTATGCTTCTATTGAAATACTGTAAGAACGTCTCTTTTATAAAATCTAGTTTTAAATTGTGTTTTATATGTTTCATAGAGGTGCAAATTTCAAAATGAGTACTGTATTTATTATAAAAAACAATTTGCTTTGGGGAACATTTTAATTGTATTTTAGTGTTATCATGCAAAATTTCACTGAAATAAACAAAAATAATTTCAAGTAATAATCAGATTTTTTTCAGTGCACATTTATAATTAGATATTATTTATTACTAAAATTTTAATGTAATAAGAAGTAAGAATATTACATATCACACAAATTGAGAAAGATTATTTAATTCCTTCCCATCGAACTTGAGAATATCACAGGTAAACGATTTTACTCTTGAATATCAGGATATTCTTGAGAACACATTTTCACTGTTGTGTCAGGATATTTCATCCAAAAAAGTTGTTTCATGATTATGATCATATGTCGGGATGCATATGAGCGAACTGTACAGTGTTAGGACTATTGAGGATTAATTTTTTATGCGGTTATTTATAAGTGAATGGCAACAGTGATTACTGCTCAGTGTTTTAATTCTTTCTCTGTTATTTAAGAAGTAATTTTGGTTTTGCTATTTGATGCTATTACGTAAAATAAAATATATGACACTAATATGATTTACAAAATTACCATTATGCTAGCAGACATCCGTGATTCAAATAATATAACTGAGTTATATTTATTTTTGAAAATTTAATGTGAATAGAAATTTTCTAAAATAAATAAAAGAAGCAAAATGGTTGTGAATGAAAATGATGTTAGATGTATTTAGAAGTTAAAATATTAATTAAGACACAATAACACGCCGAATAAATACTAATTCAGAAGTCAAACAACAAAAATCAGCGTTAACTTTGTAAACATAACGCTGATTTTTGTTGTTTGACTTCTGAATTAAGTTAAAATATGCTGGAACTTTCAAACATTGATAATACTTAAATTATCTATTTTCATAACATAGTAACAGGGTAGTAAAATTTGTGGTACTTAAGATAAACCTAAAACATTAGACAAGGATTTCAAAATATATACTTTCTACTGCAGATAAAGGTTTTCTGGTGCTTATATTAAATTGCATTTATTCAAAAGATATGTTTGATACATTATGGTTTTCATATGAAAGAGATTTTGATCAACAATACTACAGCACCCGAGATTTTTTAATATAAAATATGAAGAAAGAATAGATTAACCTCCTGTGCTCGTGAAGTGTAATCACAAGTTTATAGGCTGAGATCTTTGAAATACCAAATTGAATAAAGATGGTAATTTTTTAAATTTTGGTAATTTTGTTTGTTAAGTGTAAATATTTCATTAGTGCATGGAAGTCAATGCTAACTGTTGACAAAACGTTAACGAATTCAATAAATAAAACTTTAATGAATTAATTTACAATGCATGTTTAATGAATTAATTTCTTTTATTACAATGCATGCAATGTAATAAAAAAAAGTCAACTGAGAAGAGTTATTTCTAATGTAAGAAAACTGGCCAGTCAGCTAATTCTTGTAGATAAAAATTCTTTTAAAATAAACAGTCTAGTAAAGTATGTAAGAAAAGTAATCATAAGGATAAATATTGTTTCCTAGGTTAGTACTAATTATCAACAAGTATAATTTTTAAGTGTAAATTAAAGGACTAATAATGATATAAGAAGTGCAGTTGGGTAATTGATTCAGGTTCATCATCACATACGGTTAACAAATATATATATATACATATATATTTGTTATTTGTACCATATATATACATATATATATATATACCGTATATACCCGCGTATAAGTCGACCCCCCTTCCACATAAAAATTTCGTAGAAAATAAGAAACCCGCGTATAAGTCGACCCCCCACTTCCGAAATCGATCGAGAAACTTCGAAAAAAATTTTTTAAGTACTACATTTATTCAAAATCATGTGAGAAAAAAAAGTAAATATACGATAAAAAATACCTAGGTAAATAAACAAAATCAAAATCCTTCAACGTCCGATTCATGGTTAGATTCGCCAAATATTTCATAGAACTCTTCTGTCGTCATTGGCTCGTCATACATATTTTCAGTCTCGAACTCTGTATTGTTACAATCACTACTAGAGCCTTTGTCGTCATTTTCACTTTCAAAAACAGCATCATCTTCCGTGCCGTCTAGTTCGTTGCTAATACAACATTTTTTAAATGATTTTGTAATCATTTCAGAGGGTATTTCGTTCCAAGCATCTTTAACCCACTGAGCAATTAATGTAATATCGGGCTTTTTATTGTTCGGGAACCGAAAATTCTTTGGTTTAATCGAAACTTACTCTAGTTAAAGTATGAAACTCTGTGATTAGTTCGCCACATAATTTAAGTCATGAAATTACTTCAAGTAAGTGAATTATTTGATAAGTCGTCCAATTTGAGTGCGGGAAGAAAACAACTGCATTATATAAAGAAATTTTTGAACTTCCGATTCTTTTACCCGCGTATAAGTCGACCCCCACTTTGAAGTATTTTTTTTGTCCAAAATATCTCGACTTATACGCGGGTATATACGGTATATATATATATATATATATATGTGTGTGTGTGTGTGTGTGTGTGTGTGTACATCATTAACCTATGGTGTACTGTTAACAAATTCTAAAAATATTAGGTCAGAAATTTCTTCAGCTAAACGTCTCAGTCTATGTAAAATAAAGTAAAAATTCATAAATGTGTTTTGAATTATGTCTTGTCCCACAGCTAAGTGAGAACTTTTTATCAGTATGAACTGTAACTAATAATGATGATGAAGTTAAAGTTAAGTAAAATTTAAATATAAAAAGAAATTAAAAAAATTTACAAGGATATAGAAATGAAAATAATTTATATAATATGATTTTAACAAGAAATTACATAATGCATGAGCTTAAGCTGAAAGGGGGCACTGACAATGCATTATATAACAGAAGTCTAGGACATCTTGGTTATAAATATATAAATATTTTATTATCTAACGACATGAAGATTTCTGAAAATTCTCAAAGGATGATTCTCTCTGTGAGAGATGTTTGCAAGCTAGACAACAAAAAAATTGCCTTCTGATTCTGAAGAACGAGAGCTAAGAGATTTCTAAAAGTAATTCAAACTGATATATGTGATAAAGTTGATCTAGTAACTTTAGATAAGAAGAAATATTTTCCATCTTTTTATATGACTATACACATATGGTATATTTAATATTTGTAATGGTATATTT